TCACCCCCTTAGAAAAAATCCCTTAAAAAAAAAAAAAAAAAAAAGAAAAATCATGCTGGGTGCATATATGTGTGTGTGTGTCTATGTGTGTGTGTGTGTCCAAAATCCCAAGAGGACAATGGAGAAGAAAGGATGAAGGGATGGCGGCGTGGCCACTGAAGGGTGATTTCTCACTTTCCCTCTCTCTTTCTCTCTCGTGAGTGTATGAGCACTATGACGAAATCCTAAAAAAACAAAAACAAACAAACAAAAAAGCAAACCTCTGGGTCAAGCCATGTTGGTAAGCACTGGTAAGGCACTGCTGCTCTCAGACTAAGGCCATGTGAGAGGCCCAGGTTCGATTCCTAACCCTGTGGGGCTGAGGGAGCATCCCCAGCTGGGCGATATGGTGAGGCCCTGTCTAAAGAAGCTGACATGCCATGCGCCTATAATCCGTTACCAGGAGGCCGACGCAGGAGGATTGCAACGTAGGGAGATCTGTCTGAGACAATAAAAACAAGGCCAGTCAGTGGCACCGTGGTTAGGCAGCTGGGTCCCATGTGGACCTGGTAGCTTAAAAAACATGCCAGATCTCTCCAGTGAGTACACGCACCCTAAAGCAAAAATCTCTCTGTAAAACAAACTAACGTGCCAGATGCATGTGTGTGTGTGTCCAAGATCTGAAAAGGAGGGAAAGATGAAGAAGGGACTGTGTGGGGCCGGCAGGTGGCGTGGTGATTAAGGGCGCTGGACTCCCACATGGCCAACTGTGGTTCAAGTCCTGGACCTGGTGGCTTGCTGTCTCTCTCTCTCTCTCCACCCCCCGCCCTGATCAAATTAAATAAAGAAAGAAAAAAAAAGGGATTGTGGTGGGACCATTCCTCATGAGGGATGCTTTCTGACTTTCTCTCTGGTGAGCACATGTATACCCTCCAGCAAATTAAAATAATAATAATAATAAACTTTTCTAAATTAACAAGACCCCTCTACCCCTCCTAGCATGTCAAAAGGATGCAGAAGGGAACCAGCAGTTAGCGTAATGGCTATGTCGCTGGACTCCCACGTAGTCGACCACGGTTCGCGTCCTGGACCCGGTGGCTTAAAACTCACGCCAGGCGCGTGTGCGTGTGTGCCCAAGATCCCGAGAGGAGAATGGAGGAGAAGGGATTGCGGCGTGACCATCCCCCCTGGGGGGTGATTTCTCACTTTCTGTCTCTCTGTCTCTGTCTGTCTGGCGAGTGCACATGCCCTATAGTGAAAAAACCTCTCCAAAAAGAAAAAGAAATCATGATAGCGCTAGATTATAACCCATGGGTCACAACGAGAAGGTTGGGACATCTTGGTGAATCTCCTTGATTTTTGTCAGCAGCATCGTGCTTTGTGAGAGCATGTCTTTGCTTTGGCTTAGGAAATACACACTGAAGTATTTTGCAGGAAATGGGCATCATGTCTTACTTCCAAATATACATTTAAAGATTACACACAGAGGGCCACTAGGTGGTATGGTGGTTAAGGCACTGGACTCCCACATGGATGACTGCAGTTTGAGCCCCAGACCTGGAAGCCTGAATCTCATGCGGGACAACTGTGTATGTGTGCCCCACATCCCAGGAGGAGAACAGAAGAGGAGGGATTGTGGCTTGGTCATCCCCCCTGGGGAGTGATTTCTCACTTTCTTTCTCACTATTTCTGTCTCTCTCTGATAAACACACATAACCTATGGCAAAAACCTTTAAAAAAAAAAAAAGAAATTATATACACGAGGCCAGCCCCATAATCTAGTAGTTAAGGGATTTGGATCCCATATGGCCAACCACAGTTTAAATCTCATATCTGGCTGCTTAAAAAATATATGGGGCTGGGATCAGCAGTTGGCGTAATGGCTATGTTGCTGGACTCCCCAGCAGTTGACCGTGGTTCGAGCCCCAACCCGGTGGCTTAAACTCATGCTGGGCGTTTGTGCAGGGTGCTCAAGATCCCGAGAGGAGAATGGAGAAGGGATTGTGGCGTGGCCATCCCCCCCGGGGGGTGATTTCTCACTTTCTGTCTCTCTGTTTCTCTGTCTTTCTGGCAAGGACATATGCCTTATAGCACTGGGACTGGCAGCTGGTGTGATGGTCAAGGGCACTGGACTCCCACATGGCCAACCATGGTTCCAGTCCTGTACCTGGCAGCTTGCTTTCTCACTTTTCCTCTTTCTCTCACTATGTCCCTCTCTGGTCAAATTAAAAGAAAGGAAGAAAGAAAGAAAGAAAGAGAGAAAGAGAGAAAGAGAGAAAGAAAGAAAGAAAGAAAGAAAGAAAGAAAGAAAGAAAGAAAGAAAAGAATAAAATAATTCTCTAAGAAAAAAAACATACTGAGTGCATGTGTGTGGATGAGCAAAATCTTAACAGGAAGGAGATTTGGAGGAGAAGAGATTTCAGCATGGCTACATCCCATGGAGGGGTGTTTTCTCACTCTCTGTCTCTCTGAAGATACTCTCTGACAATTAAAATAAACAAATAAAGGGACCGGCAAGTGGCGTGGTGGTTAAAGGCGCTGTTCTCCCACATGGTTGACCACAGTTCGAGTCTCAGACCTGGCAGCTTGCTTTCTCACTCACCCCCACCCTTCTCCCGCTCTCTATCTCTCTGTCTTTCTCTGGTCAAATTAAAATAAATAAATAAATAAATAAATAAATAAATAAATAAATAAATAAATTTAAATAAAATAATTCTTTTTTAAAAATAAAATAAAGTAAGCAAATAAGAACAAAACTACACACACATATATATGTATTTGTGTGTATATGAGGATGTGTGTGTATAAAAGAAAAGGATAGGGGACTAGCAGGTGGCATGGTGGTTAAGATGCTGGACACTCCCACATGGCTGACTACGGTTCAAGTCCTGGAACTGGTGACTTGCTTTCTCACTTTCTCTCTCTCTTTCCTCTCTTTATCTCTCTCTCTCAGTGTGTGTGTGTCTGGTTAAATTAAAAAATAAGTGAATGAATAAATAAAATTAAATAATAAATAATTATTTTTTAAAAAGAAAGATAAAGCAAATGTGGCAAAGAACATTGGGGGCTCTGTGGGGAAGGAATGTAAGAATTTTTAGTATTTTTGCAACTTATCTGTGAGTTTAAAACCATGTTAAAATATTTATTTGTTTGTTTATTTATTTTTGGGAGAGTTGTTTTTTGTTTTTTTTTTGCTATAGGGCGTGTGCCAGAGAGACAGAAAGCAAGAAATCTCCCCCCAGGGGGGATGGCCACATTGCAATCCCTTCTCCTCCATTCTCCTCTCGGGATCTTGCGCACGCATGCACATGCGCTCGGTGTGAGTTTAAGCCACTGGGTCCGGGACTTGAACTGCGGTCGACTACATGGGAGTCCAGTGACATAGCCATTACACCAATTGCTAGTTGGTCCCAAATATTTACTTTTTTTTTTTTTTTTGGAGAGATTTTCACTGTAGGGCGCGTGCGCTCGCCAGCCAGAGAAAGACATAGAGACAGAAAGTGAGAAATCACCCCCCAGGGGGCATGGTCACGCCGCAATCCCTTCTCCTCCATTCTCCTCTCGGGATCTTGGGCACGCACGCACACGCACCCGGCATGAGTTTTAAGCCACCGGGTCCGGGACATGAACCGCGGTCGACTATGTGGGAGTCCAGCGACATAGCCATTACGCTAACTGCTGGTTCCCGCAAATATTTACTTTTAATAGTTAGAAAGTTAAAATAAAATGACAGTGTTCCTTGGGCTGCCATACAGGAATAGCCTATAGGAGGCAGAGACAGAAGCAGGCAGACCAGGTGAGAGATTGTCCAGGCCAAAGACAAGGTAGCTGGGGGCACCATAGGATGTCCTCTCCACATGAGAAGTCCCCTCCCAGGTGCTTCTGTCCCCTTCCCCATGACCATACCTCGGGGAGCCAAGCAGACGAAAGGTGAGGGTGGGGTCTCTCAATTCCTGCAGCAGCTGGAAAAAATGCGTGCGTCAGTGTCTGGAAGACCCCCTCCATTCCCACAAACATGGCTCCCCTAAGGTCAGCAAAGAGAGGTCTAGATGCAGGTCCAGAAAGAATTACTCTTGCCAATACCACACACCAGCTGTGTGACCTCCAGCAAGTTACTTACCTTCTCTGTGCCTCAGATTACTAACCTATGAAATCAACAGTAACTATCCAATAGGTGACTGTGAACATTAAATAACATCCTGAAGTGTAAGGGCAGAGTCCCATGCAGGGTTCTTTGAGATAAGTACCAATTTCTCTGTATTTTCCACAGGGGGATAGTGAGGCACAGGAAGGTGAAGTGGCTTGCCTAAGGCCACCCAGCTGGATTCCAGCCTAGGCAATCTGGCCTATGCTCTTAAACACCCGAATGCCTCTATAGTGGCTCCACCCTAAAGTTGCGGAGGCTCAGAGAGAAACAAAGTCTCTTGCACAAGGTCGCATGGTACCCAGGGATGAGACTGAGATGCGAGAGACCCTGGGGCAAAGGAGGGGGTCTGTCTGAACTGACGCTGGAGGAAGCTCCCCTGTGGGGTTGTGGAGTGGGGCTGTGGCATTGGGGTGGAGGAGCTTACCTGGTCTGAACCTGGAGCCCACACCTGCACTCCATGCTTCCAGAATGCCTGAAGCCGACCCCCGACCATAGCTGGGGAGAAAGCAGTACCCATTATCCTTGGAGAGCACTGGAGCCTCCACCCCTGACCCTGGGCCCTGCCACCCCTGTGCATACCCACAGCCTCCACTGCTTCCGTCATGGGAATTTCAGATGTACGAAGGCCACGGACTGGGGCCCCTTCTGGGGTCACGAGCTTCAGAGACCCTGGAAAGAGGTACAGCGAGGGTTTTTAAGAACTGGGGCTGGCAGGAGGCATGGTGGTTAAGGTGCTGGACTCCGACATGGCTGACTGCAGTCTGAGTACAGGACTCAGGAGCTGGCTTTCTCCCTCTCCCTCTCCCTCTCTCTCTGTCTCGCTCTGGTCAAACTGAAGAAGAATCATCAATAAAATAAAATAAAATTTCTTTTTTAAAAAAGAAAAAGAACTTCGAGGATTACTAAGGGACCTGGTAACAAATTCAGCGTGAAGTTAAGGACACCAAAGACTGTATGGGGTCAGGGCTTCTGAAAGGCACTGGTGAGGGGGCAGAGACCCAGGGACAGGAGAAGTTGTGACGGAGGAAGGAAGGAGGGCTCTTACCGTCCATCAACACCATCACCATGTCTTCCTTCACCTGGGTCACCTGCACTGGTCCCTTGTGCTCTGTTGGGGTGGGGGGTACAGTTTAAAGACCAGCTCTGTCATATTCCCATTTGCACACAGAAGGTCAGTCCCTCTACAAGGCACGCGGGTCTCAGGCAGGTAGGCTAAATCCCACCCGCCACCCAGACTCCTCCCCAATATCAATATTACCAATGAAATAAACCTGACTTTCTTTTTTTTTTTTTGAGTGGTTTTCGCTATA